AACGGAAAGTTACTAAACTTCAAAAAACATGGGATTTAGAGAGTAAAGTTAAATGATCCTATTTAAGGAAGGAAAGGAGGTTTCTAAAGGCAGCAGCCAATGAGACTGACTCTGCTTTGCAGGGTCATTTCTGGTGAACTGAGACTGGAAGGGGTGTTAGGCAGGATAGAAAGACACAAAGGAGCCTGCCAAGAAAATGAATGGCCAGTGTGCACTTCACCGTGAGCAGAAAATGGTAACTCGGCAAGAAGGACCATTTCAGTTCTCCGGCGGGGGCAGCATGGTGAGCGGCCGCCGGAGAGAAGCATGAGTGCCCGGCTGTTCTCTGTCATCTGCTCCCCATGGCACAGACAGTGGCTCTACCCTGGAAACCAGATAGAGCAGCATAATAAAGGAAAAAATGGAGCCAGGATAGTCAAGGGAGAGTAAAAGAACACCTGGTGGCTTAAAGCAGTTTGCGTATAGGCCCATGAGACTGTAGCCCAGAAGCAAGACGACCTTCACAGAAGCACGGAACACTCACTTTCACCTAGCAGGATCCCACAGTGGTCACTGAGCAGGGCCAAAAATCTGAAAAGGGCTAGTTTTTCTCCACCTTTCCAAGAGGAGGTGACAGTGAATTGGAGCAACATTGTGTTGGGAGGCTCACTGCCCATCCAGGATCAGACCTCAGAGTGGATTATTAAACAAGTGTTTTGTGACCCTAGAGAGAAAAAAAGATGGTAAGGACTCAGGGTCAGCATGGGGAGGACTTCTAACCCCAAGTCCTGTTAGCCTCATTCACTCTGGACACATGGGGAGATCAGGGCTTTGCCATGGACATAGACTCACACATAGCCCTGTCTTCTCAGAACTTTAAGAAGTGATTCATGTGTTGAGACAGAATGCCCAATCCAAAATAACACAGAAATGAGGGACAGACCTAGAACATTGGATGAGAGAAGCCAAATTTTCTCAGTAGGTTGGAACAAATGCAGCCTCCAATGTGGAAATTTTAGGGGGACAAATAATGAAGGATTTCCAATTTTTCACAAATGCTGAATGAGAAAGACCTAGCTCATAGCTGCTCTTGTGAAAAAGGTTTAGGGATTTCACTATAAGCAAAAAGTGAACGAACAGAGTTATAGGACTGCCAAGAAAGACAATATACAGCCTTATGCTGTGTTAGGAAAATAATGCCCTCCAAAGATGTCCATGTCCTTATTCGTAGAAGTGATGAATGTGTTACTTTACATGGCAGAAAGGACTCGGCAGATGTGATTCCGTTACGGGTTTTGAGAAGGGGAGGTTGTCCTGGCTCATCTGGGTAGCTTCAGAGTAATTACAAATGACCTTGTAAGTGAAAGAGGTGGAGAGTCAAAATGAAAGAAAGCAATGTGACAACAGAAGCAGAGGTAGGAGTGATGGGGGGCCACCAGCCAAGGACTGTGGGCTGCCTCTGGAAACTGGAAAGGCAAGGAAATGGATTTTCCCCTGGAGCCTTCAGAAGAACACAGCCATGATGACCTACTGCAGACTTTGACCTTCTCCTCTGGCTAGATCTAGGAGACAATACATTTGTGCAATTTTAAGCCACTAAATTTGTGGTAATTGTTCCAGTAGCAATCGTAAACTAATACAGGCTGCACTGATCCTGGTTCGATTGGCCAAAGGTTGTACAAGGCACACATTAGAGCATGTATGACATGTTAGTTTTTGTTCTGATGTGGGTTTTGGGAGGCATGTTGACAAAGTCAAGTACACAGTGGATATTGGAGCACCTTGGAGTCATAACAGATAAGAAGCTAGAAAGACTGGGTCACCAGGCGCGGTGGCTCAAGCCTGTAATCCCAGCACTTTGGGAGGCCGAGGCGGGTGGATCACAAGGTCAAGAGATCAAGACCATCCTAGTCAACATGGTGAAACCCCGTCTCTACTAAAAATACAAAAAAATTAGCTGGGCATGGTGGCACGTGCCTGTAATCCCAGCTACTCAGGAGGCTGAGGCAGGAGAATTGCCTGAACCCAGGAGGCAGAGGTTGCGGTGAGCCGAGATCGCACCATTGCACTCCAGCCTGGGTAACAAGCAAAACTCCGTCTCAAAAAAAAAAAGAAAGATTAGGTCTTTTCAGCCTGACTCACATTAAGACAAAACAGTTGTCCTCAAATGTTTGAAAGGTTAACATCTCAAGGAAAAATTAGAATCACTGCAACCCCAGAGAGCAGAATAAAACAAGTCAGTCAGTGGTACAGGAAAATTTAGGTCTCTCTCATAAGACAGAATAATCAGAGCTGCCAGCAAAGCAAATTTGGCACTTTCTTAGATAGTAAGCCTGTCACTGGAAGCATTCAATCAGAGGCTGAATGGTCACTGCTCAGTGATGTTAGAAAAGAAACCTCTACAGGGTCAAGGTTGGTCAAGAAGACTGCTGTAAGCCTTTTTACGCTAGGATTTGAAGGCTTGATGGCTATAGAAAGATAAGTGATATTTTATTTTATTTTTTTGACACAGAGTTTTGCTCTTGTTCCCCAGGTTATAGTGCAGTGGTGTGATATCAGCTCACTGCAATCTCTACCTCCCAGGTTTAAGCGATTCTCCTGCCTCAGCTTCCTGAGTAGCTGGGATTACAGGTGCCTGCCACCCTGCCCAGCTAATTTTTTGTATTTTTAGTAGAGATGGAGTTTTATCATGTTGGCCAGGCTGGTCTCGAACTCCTGACCTCAGGTAATGTACCCACCTCGGCCTCCCAAAGTGCTAGTGGTTTACAGACATGAACCACTGCCTCCGGCCAATAAGTACTATTTTCACTGGAGTCTAGAACCTACCTTGTGCTAAAATTTGTAATTAAATCTCACAAGAAAATAAAAAGCAGTAGCAGAAGTTCCCACTTCTCTTGCTTGTGTAACTCTCAATGCTGTTTTAAAGAGAGCTGTCATCTTGATAAATAAGTATTTGAGTCAGTATCTCACAGTTGGTGTGATGCCAAGATGCCAAAGCCCCAGAGTGGGGATCCCAGGTAGAGCAGGAGGAACCTGCAGAGGCTTCCCCACTCCCACCCCTCAGGCTGAGCTAGGAGCCCCTGTTCTGCCCTGTCTTAAGAGTGGCCACACCTCGGCCTAGTTTTCAACTCCTTAAAGCAAAACAGTATCTCCCCTGGGTCAGGAGGCTAAGCAGGTAGAAACATGTGCAAGGAAGATTATCAGAGCAATGGGTTCCTTTCCTGCACAGACCCAAGACTCCTGTGGTAAGTGGGTAGCCAGGAGAAGAGCAGAATAAAGCAGCAGCGCATTCTGCTGAGATGAGTGTCGTCATCAGCATCTTCCTCCAGGCCCGAGTTTCTTCATATGGAAAGTGGATTACCCAGCTCAAGGCCCCCACGTAGTCTCATCTCTCCATGCTGTTTTCTTTCAAAGTGTTAAATTCCTGCTGCTGCTGCTGCTATTGCTTGATTTACAAGAGGAAGAACAAAGTGCAAAATAAAAGTAGTTCTCCCATGGCCATCCTCTGCTTTATCCCATCGGGACATCAGGGACCTCTTTGAGGCACTCGGGCCACATGTTTGCAACATTGGCTGTCATGCAGGCACCGGGCATCCCCTGCCAGCTCTTGCCCATGGACGGAGGGCACAAATGCCTGTGTCAGCTGATTACAATGTTCTCAGTCAACGTGTCTGGACAAATATCCACTTATCTCACACCCAGAAATGATTGTGGCCATAGCTACGTTTAGCCATAACATTGACCTGCTTGTTAACATTGTTCCTGAGTTGCTGCCTCCCCCTCATTCTCTTTTGTCTTCCCATTCAGTGGCTTATGTGTGTGTTTTAATCCCTGTTTTCTTAGATTTCTGTTTCAATTCAATAGATTTTTTTTTTTTTTTAACTGGAGGAAAGGAAACCATGCCCAAAGACCAGGTGTTCATGCTTTCAGAAATGCAGAAATGGACAGGTTTTCTTCATTGCACATGTATCTTACAGGAATCGAGGCCTAATCTTGTTGAAGTCTCTGACTGTATGATGGCCACTCCAACAGGTGGCAGAGGGCGGTGTACTAGCCTTCCAGATCTCCACCAGCCTCCCCCAAACCATCACAGATCAACACTCAAGTTCAAGTAAAAGCCACATGCCTGCCCTGCAGGCGCCTATCCTGGACTGTCACTAGCCTCGTCTCTGGCCCACACCCTCCTGTGGCCACCAAAGGTGGCCTGGAACTCCTGATGAAGGGTGCTCACAGGCAAGGTTGTGCTCCCCTTGGTCAGTGTATGCGTTCCATCCAGGATGAAAGAAATTGAGTTCTCATCGACACGATCAAACTTGAAATACCCAGAGACATGTTTTCTACTAAAAAAAAAAAAAAAAAGCAAGTCGGCCAGGCGCGGTGACTTATGCCTGTAATCCCAGCACTTTGGGAGGCCAAGTCAGGCAGATTGCCTGAGCTCAGGAGTTTGCAGCCAGTCTGGGCAACATGGTGAAACCCCATGTCTACTAAAATACAAAAAATTAGCTGGATATAGCGGCATGTGCTTGTAGTCACAGCTACTTGGGAGGCTCTGAGGCAGAAGAATTTCTTGAATCTGGGAGGCAGAGGTTGCAGTGAGCCAGGATCACACCACTGCACTCCATCCTGGTGACAGAGCAAGACTTCGTCTTAAAAGAAAAAGAAAAAGAAACAAATCGTGGGTGAATCCTTTCGCATCTCAGTTTTCTCATCTGCAAAATGGGAATAATAAAGGTTCCTAATTCACTGGGCAATGATGAGGGTTACAGGATTTAAATGATGTAAAGCACTTAGAAGAGGCCTCACCAGCCCTAATCTACTGAGCTCCTTTTATCCTCACTGAATGAATGAATGAATGAATGAAAATGGAGTCTCTACAAACATGTCATAAGTGAAAAACGCGCATGCAGATTTGATTATTGACATAACAAGAGGTGGAAAAAATCACCTCTTAAATGTGGACACATTCAGTACTTTATGTTTGCATTTTGCACTGTGAAATACCTTTTTTTTTTTTTTTTCAGGACTACACTTTGTTATATGAAGAGGCAAAATATTTTCAGCTTCAGCCCATGTTGTTGGAGATGGAAAGATGGAAGCAGGACAGAGAAACTGGTCGCTTTTCAAGGCCCTGTGAATGCCTTGTCGTGCGTGTGGCCCCAGACCTTGGAGAAAGGATCACGCTAAGCGGTGACAAATCCTTGATAGAAGAAGTATTTCCAGAGATCGGCGATGTGATGTGTAACTCTGTCAATGCAGGCTGGAATCACGACTCGACGCACGTCATCAGGTTTCCACTAAATGGCTACTGTCACCTCAACTCAGTCCAGGTATGGCATTGTGACACACTGTGTGGCATCAAATGTCACTCTTACTCTTGTCACTTACCCTTGCCCTCACATGGTGCCTTTCCACCAAAGAGCTGAGAAACTCTCCCTCAGTGACACTTCTGTTGGGTAGGTGAAGTATCCCCCTCTACAGCAGTCATTCCACAAGCGTTGTGAGTGTGCCAGGTGCTGGGATGAGCACTGGAGATGCAGAAGAGACAGATACAGAACACAACAGCTGGGCACGGTGGCACAGGCGTGTCGTCCCAGCCACTCCAGAGGCCAAGGCAGGAGGATCACTTGAGCCTAGGAGTTCAAGTTCAGACTGGGCAACATAGCGAGACAGACAGAGAACAAGACGGACAGCTCTGTGCTCATGGACCTGTATTGTGGGAGTGGAGTGGGAGGCAAACAGTCAATATAAATCTCTTGCCAGGAGGTGGTAAGTGGATTTCTGGGGTAGAGTATGCTGGGCTTATTGAGTACTCTCAGGATAGCCAGTTTGGCTTGAAGCAAGTGAAGCAGGGAGAGAGAGTGCCCAGAGAGGCAGCCAGGGAAGACTAGGGACCGATCATGGAGATCCTCTTTAGTGGGTGGCAAGTGCTCCAGGATTGTTTATTTTGGAGTCTTTTGGTTTTGGTTCTTTTGCTTATGTGAGCCGAGTGGAAAGGCACTGGAGGGTTTTGAGCAGAAGGGCGACCTGACAGAACTCAGATTTTAAAGTGAACATTGCGGCAGCAGCTAGAGAACAGGAGAAGCAAAGAGACCAGGCAGAAAGCTGTGGTTCAGGCCGTTGAGAAGGATCGGGTTCTGAGTGTCTGCAGGGTACAGCTAACAAGGTTTTCTGACTGTGGCTGTGGATTGTAAGACATAAGCCCGGGGTGACTAAGATTTTTGACGGGGGAACTGGATGAGTGGAACTGCCATTTCCTGAGATGGAGAAGTCTAGAGGAGCAGGAGATGTGGGGGTGGAATCAGAACTTAGAGGCGAACATGTGCTGAGCACCAGCTCTCTGCCCTACCCTGGGCCCTGGCCTGAACATGCGTTGTCTTCATAGCCCTAACAGGTGATCACTGGTAATCCTCTGTCTTGCTGATGGGCAGGCAGAGGCGCACCTGGGTCTCGATTCCAGCTCTGTATGACACAACCGTTTGAAGTCAATGGAGTGAGGGTTCTAGTTTTTCCCCGCTTTTAAATTGGAATGGGCCCATGACTTTGTTCAATATTTAGTCAGCAGAACCCTTCCCCAAGCGCAGAGACTAGAAGCACCCACTCTTCCGTGCTGCCTCTTGAGGATTGTTCCACCACTATTTATAACTTTTTAAATGTATGAACAGATGTCTGAGAACAGAAGAGCAGAAAACTGGCAGAAAATGTTCCCTAAGCATGCTAGCGGAAGGCACATGTTCCCAGGCAGTGGGATGGCTGCCGGTCGCAGGGTTCCTGAGGAAGACGTGCACCTTCTCACCTGTCCTGTGCGGAGGGCGCCCCCTGGAGGTGTGTGGTGCTCCCCTGTGGCTTCTGCAGTTTAAGCCCCTAAAGCCCAGAAGGACTGTCCCGTCCCACACACACCCTGACCAGGCTGCAACTGGAGCAGACAGAAGGGCAGAACATTCACAGCCAGGACAGGAAGGCCTTGGCCCCACCCTCGGGCCAGGGAATAACCATCATCAATTCATATGCTTGACAGTTCCCCACATCAGATGTGGAAATTTTCATCTGGATTAACGTGGTCGTATGACACAGCCATGACCTACCCTTACTTCCTGCTCCACCCACCAAGGAATAGGCACCAGCTTGTGGACACAGAGAGTCTGGGATAAGGCTAACGACACCCGATACCTCACTAAGTTGTTTTAACATTCTCATATGATCACTCAGTTTAAGGAACTTTGCTGTGAATGCGTTGTTGTTTCCCAGAAAGTAATAGCTTCATCAGCTGTTTGCCTTACATTGAAACAAGCTTTTGACCACATCCAAGGTAACATTGGCTCACAATGAATAATTATGGATGATGCCTATCAGACCCCCTTCCCCACCCCCGCTGGGGCGAAGAGCTTAGAGATTTCCTCCTGTTAGCAATTGAGTGACCGGTATCAGGGTTAGGTTCTCTGTTGCTCACAACTTTCTCCTCTTGCGATTTCCTCTCCTAATCAAGGCAAGGAATCCTTTCCAAGGTGCTGGTTTGGCCAGGCAAGCTGGGGTACCTCTTGCTGAAGGCTACATTCCTGCCTCTGCTGAGGAATCCATGGAGGGAGCTGTTCTTCATCTTTGTGTTTACCTGCTACCAAAGCACGCCTTGATTTTGAATTTAGGGATTGTTTTCTTCCCGTCCTTATGCTGGCAGGTGTACATATGCATTGTGAATTTACCTACAGAAATAGAGTACTGCTGGGTAGAATGCTAATTTTGTTCTCATAAGGACTTGTGTGTGTTTTTTGAATTTGCCAGCACTTGAGGTTTTAATTTTTAGAAAACACACTCATTCCAGTCTCATCCAGTAAGCTGTTTTGCAGCATAGTAAATTATATTCCGTAGAGGAGTAGGTGACTAAAAAATAATAATTTTTAAAAAATAAGGATTCACTATACCTTGACTACATTTCATTTCATTCCAAGAAAAGTTGTTTTGAGGTGGGCATTTTTTTTTTTTTTTTGAAGTTATGATTGAATCACTTTGCTTTTAGGGTGGTGTGGAAATAATTTTGTTCAGAACTCCAGCAAGAAACATTTGCAAATCTAATCTTTGTTGGATTCCTAAAGACACTGAATGCTTCAGATCAGTTTCCTGTATTTTTGTCTATCTAAGAGTTACAGGTACTGTTTCCTGCAAATAAGAGTGTCAGACATGTAATGCCAAACCCAGGAATCTTGCGGGCGTTAGGTATTTGATTTCAAAATCAAGGAACAGATTCCGTGGCTTACGTTTGAATACGAAGTTTAGAATGTCTTTACTTTTCCTACATTTTCTGATATGTAATCATTGTGCTTATTCTTGTCTCCTTGAATGCACGCAGGCAGGAACTCTATTTCAAATGCTACAAACTTGAAAACCTGCAGCTAAACCCCAGTGTCTTCAGTAGGCTCTTTGTTCTGCTATTGAAATGACATCAGTCTTTGTCAGGGTGTGAGGCTGGATTAAAATGAAATTTTTGTTTTTGGAATTGTCCGCGTTGAGCATCGAAAAGAGGCCTGAAAGCCGGGGTCAGTTTTGAAGTCAAAACCTACTAAAGGATAAGGCTGTCATCACCTGTTCCAGACATTTGTCTCCGACTCAGCAAATGTTATTTCCTGTGCTTTGCTATTCTGCGTTGGTTAGCAAGGATGCTTCTGCATTGCAAGCATATATATGAACTCGGTATGAGGAAACTCAGGCGATGGTAGGGTTGAGAGTACAAAGGAATCACTGGCTAAGTAAACTCTGCTACCACTGTCTTTCCAGATCCTTTATCATCTCATAGGATGTATTTTAGTGATAAATGAACTTTGAAATGTGAACCCTCATTTTGACAGTGATAGCAGCATTGCATATACGAAAAACAGGGGATCTGAGGCCAAACAGACCTTAGTTGGAAACGCAGCCCCATCACTTACTAGCCGTGAACCTCAGTTTTCTCATCTATAAAATGGGCCTAACACCACTGAGTGTTATAGCTGGTGTGTGTAAAGCAAGCATGTAAAGGCACATTTCAGGCATTAGAAATACTTGCTTCCTCACTCCTGCTCGTTAATCCAGGGTCTTTCTTTGAGAGGAGCAGCTCAAAGGGGCATGGATGCTGGATGAGATGAACCAGAGCTGCACATAATCTCAAACTTTGGGGTCTTTATGTAGCCGTAGTACTTACCTCACCCCTAACCAGATGCTTGACTTGTCCTCTCGCAGGTCCTCGAGAGGCTGCAGCAAAGAGGATTTGAAATCGTGGGCTCCTGTGGGGGTGGTGTGGACTCATCCCAGTTCAGCGAATACGTCCTTCGGCGGGAACTGAGGCGGACGCCCCGTGTACCCTCCGTCATCCGGATAAAACAAGAGCCTCTGGACTAAATGGACTTATTTCTTATGCAAAAGGGAAAACACACACAACCGATAACGCAAAACAAAAACAAAGGGACATATATGTGCAGTTGGGACAGCAAACCGAGTCCTGGACCTAAAATTGAATAAAAGACACATTTATATCCAATAGAGACCACACCTGTATTCATATGGGAACAATTGGAATAGTGATATCCTCAAGGTGTAAAAAATATATAAATATATAAATATATATATATATGTCAAAAGGTAGGAAATGCAAAAAAGAAAAAAAAAAAAGGTGATAGCTGCAGTTGGTGCTGTGATGGCCGTGAAGTGTCCTGGGCCTGCCTCCCGAGGCCTCTGACCAATAAACAAGCCATGAGCGGTGAGGACACAGTCTCCTTACAGTTTCCATTGCCAACAGCCATCCATTATTTCTTTTTCCTTTGTCTTTCTTTTTCCTTTTTTTTTTTTTTTTTTTTTAAAACAGAACACCTTGAATCGAGTTTCTTTGTATTTGGAGGTTCCACGTCTCTCTTTAGATAGGGACCAGGCAGGACTTCAGAAAAACCCTCATGAGCACATTGCATTGGAAAGATGTTAGACATGAAATTTTAAATGCAGTTTGTACAGAAGTCACACTTGTTTGTCCGCCTCACAGATGTGAACTTTACTTTGTTTTAAAACTGATCAGTTTTGCCAAGGGGCCAGAATTATTCCTTGTTAGAATTGCTCCAGTTCAAGTCTGCTGCTTTCCTACAATTTTTCAAATTTTATAATGTATTAAATACAATAAACTCTGTTTAAAAAATAAGGTCTGTGTGAAACACACATGTGGGTGTAAGGCTGGATTAAAATGAAATTTTTCGTTTTGAAACTGTCCATGTTGAACATGAAAAAGAGGCTTGAAAGCCGGGGTGAGTTTTGAAGTCAAAACCTACTAAAGGTTAAGGATGTCATCACCTCTTACAGACAGTTGTCTTCTGACTCAGCAAATGTTATTTCCTGTGCTTTGTCATTCTGCTCTGGTTAGCAAGGTAAATCTTCCTTCTTACGGACTTTTCAGTTACCCCCATTTCAGTTACCTACAGCTGCGGAGCAAGCCACAGCAAAACGGAATGGCTTAAAACAGTTTGCTATGGCCTGTGGTTCTGTGATTCTCGTGTGTTACCTGGCTGTGGCCGGGCTGTATCTGCTCCACGTGATGTCACCCAGGGGTCTGACTGACGTGGAATGTCCTAGATGGCTCGCCCAGATGGCTGCAGATACTTGGCTGTTGGCCTCCGTGTGGCTTGGGCCCTCTCAGTGTGGTAGCCAGGTAACAAGAAGGCAGCAGAGAGAGCCACAGTCCTCTGAAAGGCTTGGCCCGGACTGCACAGTACACTTCTGCTGCTTTCTGTTGGTTGAACAGCCACAGGGCCAGCCCAGGTTCAAGGAGAGGGAAAGAAGAACCTCCCGTTGGGGAAAGTAACGTAGCATTTGTGAGCAACTTCAGTCCCCCATAACACCTGTCCAAAGCATCTTCAAAGTAGGGCATTATGGCTTTGAAGAAGTGGGGAGCATCTCAGAGCCAGAACTATCATTTTATTATTAGCCAGGGAAGTAAGAAACCTGAGATTTCAACAGCACTTTAGAATGAAGTCCTCAGCTTTTTCAAGGTACTAGTGATTCCTGGTTCCTCCAGTCAGCCCTATACTCACCTTTCTTCCTTCCTCTTCCTCATTCCAGACACTCAAAATAAACCTGGCATGCTGGTAAGATTGACAGGTGAACCAGAAAGTGTTTCTGCCGCAGAGATGTTCCTGTGGTGATGGGCTATTTCCATCCTGAACTTACTTTCTTTTTTTAAATTAAAAAGTCTGTGCCTGAGGACACTAGTAATGAAAATATCTCTGGCTTCTGAAACTAAAAGTAAGCTGTTAATGGCTCCTATCACTGCCTGAAACACAGAGGCGGCCCAAGCGCTGAATGACTTTAATGACAGCTAGCCAGGCTTCCACATGGCTGTGTAATTTCCCTATTTGAGACTAATATACCGCTCTCTCAGATGGGGACAGACGGGGCTGCTCCCACCAGCTGCTCGGTCATCCACGTCCTACTGGAAGGAGAATAAAATTGCTCTATGATTTACTAGCAATCCATTCTCATTAGGGAGAATTTCCTAAAATCAATAATGCAAGGGCCTCACTGTGGGACTCTGCTGGTTACTGTCATCAGTTAACGTTTACACAGCACTCCCTATGTGCAGTTAGTATTGTCCCAAATACTGCACAGAATGGCATGCACTGGCTACTGGTACCCACTTTGTTCTTTTCTAAATTCTTCAGTCCATTCATATGACTGCAATCCGGTTGCACATTATTTCTACAAAAACTCTGATCCAATTCAGTAGAGCAAACATTTCACTTGGAATGTTCACCTTTTTAGGTCTTGAAACATGTAGATTCCCAGATACCAAAATACTTTAGAAAAGACCAGGTCAACCAAAATGTCAAACACAGTTGAATCACCTGTTTTTTTGGAGACAGGGTCTCACTCTCACCTCAGCTGGAGTGCAGTGGCGCAATCTTGGCTAACTGCAACCTCTACCTCCAGGGTTCAAGCTATTCTCCCACCTCAGGCTCCCAAGTAGCTGGGACTACAGGCATGTGCCACCATGCCTAGCTAATTGTTTTTTTGTTTGTTTGTTTGTTTGTTTGTTTGTTTTTGGTAGAGACTGGGTTTCGCCATGTTGGCCAGGCTGATCTTGAACTCCTGGCCTCAAGTGATACACTCCCATCAGCCTCCCAAAGTGCTGGGATTACAGGCATGAGTGAATCACAATCTTATTTTGCACTACTTGTTATTATTCAATATGCAGTTCATATTCAAACTTCACCAAGTGCCCCAAAAAACGATCTTTATAGCTGTGCTTATTTTTCCCCTAGATGATCTGATCAAGGATTATGCACTGCATTTATTAATAATAACCCTCATCCCTTGCTTTTTTTTTTTTTTTTTTTTTTGTCTTTCCATGACATTGACTTATGAGAAGAGTCCAGGTCAACTGTTTTGTAGATTGTTGTACAATTTGGATTTGTCTGATTTGTCCCTCATTGGTAGAGTCAGGTTTTGTTATTTTAAGAATACTACATAGGTGATACCACATCCTCAATGCATCATATCACAAGACTCAATTTGACCCATAATAGTGATGGCAGTTTTGACCTTTTGGTTGAAGTAACATCCACCAAATCATCCAGTGTAAAGGTAGCTATTTCTTTTTGTAATTAATGAGTTACCTGTGGGATGACACTATGAGACAATAAATATCCTGTTTCTCAACACACTCTCACTGAATGGTTTTAACATCCACTGGTAATCCTTTCCTAAATCAGTCATTATCTTGGTAGCTATAAAAGTTTGCTTTTTAAAAAGCCACTGTTGCCTGAATCTTTCTTTGATAGTTGAAAGGATTTTTTTTCTTTAGTAAAATACATTTCTTTAGTCTACAGCAAACAAGCTACAATATTTGACCTGCTCTTTTCTAAGAATCATTTTAGAAAAATAGAATAAGGCAAGCCACTTATAACCTGGTTCTTAATATTAGATGAGTTTCTCCATAGTAATAATAATAGTTATCCATTTAGTGTTTGCTGTGTGCCAGCCCTGTGCTGAGAGCTTTACCTGTTAACTCATTCAATCCTTATGACCCCACTGGAAGTTGCATCATCCATCCCTATTTCTTGGTTAAAGTAACTAAGACTCTAAGACATGAAATAAATGATATAATAAAGGCTAGTGTTCGGTTAAGTCTTACAAGGAAGACCGAAAACAACTGTTTAAGAAAGTAAGCCCAGGTGTGGTGGCTCATGCCTGTCATCCCAACACTTTGGGAGGTCAAAGCAGGTGGATTACCTGAGGTCGAGAGTTCAAGACCAGGCTGATCAACATGGAGAAACCCCATCTCTACCAAAAATACAAAGTTAGCCGGGCATGGTGGCGCATGCCTGTAATCCCAGCTACTCGGGATGCTGAGGAAGGAGAATCTCTTGAATCCAAGAGGCAGAGGTTGCAGTGAGCCAAAACCGCGCCATTGCACTCCCGCCTGGGCAACTCTCTGTCTCAAAAAAAAAAAAGAAAAAAAAGTAAGTTTTTATGTTGTAATAGGAGTAGGAAGTAGATTATTAATTAATAGCATTTTATCCTTATGGAAATGTACTCCTGTATTTAAGTATTTTCACCATCTTCTACAATATGTTGGGCACTTGGCTTTGCTGATACTAGGGTGACAATAACATGGTTTCTGCTGTGGGTTTCTGGGGAGTGAGAGGAGCAGGGCTCTCTGCACATCACTACATACAGTCCAAGGCACAATGGGATATGTGTCATTTCATATTTACAAGGCAAGGATTCTAGAAATGCCCAATCATATGGGATCATATCTGGTCAGGGAAATTAGAAGAAGCATCCTTGGGGAGGCGGCACTTGAAAGATAGGTAGGCTTTGCAAGGACGGAGTATTTGGGCGTGGGGCAGAGGCTCTGAGCTGGAGAAGCACAAGGCAGAGCAGCACATGGTGTGGGACGAGGGAAGCATGGGCTAGAAAAGGAAGGTGGAATTGGATTGCGGGAGTGGGAGAGGGGAGCTGATCTTGGCTGCCACACGAGGGTTTGGACTTTTGGAACCATTGGAGAATCACAGAAGGTAAGCTCTGTAGATACTTGTTTAGGGAGTCTGCAGCCTTGACTGGCCAGGAACAAAGTTGGTGGGAAGGCAGTTAAGTGGCTGTTTCTTCCATTCACCCATTCATGATCTACAAAGCAGGCTAAGAGCCGATGACATAAAGATGTATGAGAAAATAAGGCATCACCTTTAGTGTTGGGGCAGCAAACTCAGATGTTTCCAGGGGCCGGGCAAATTGCAGGAACCAGTAAGAGATAGCCAAACTGGAGCACTGGAAGGAGCAGCCCCTACTCCACCCCAGCAGGTTGCAGCTATTGAAGAACAGCGTTCTTGTACTTAAATGTCTCATTGTTCTAGAAAACCTGGGAATCCAGACTTTTGTGTGAAATCTTTAGATGTGCAAATATTGGAGCTCACTTTTTTTTTCAAATGTACAGCCCTAACAAGACATCTGCAGACTAGCAGTTTGTAACTCTGAGAGTTATGAAATAAAACACTTTTAGACACGCTAGAAACATTTCATTTAGGTGACATTGCATGTGAGATCAAAAAAACTATGTTGATCGAGGACATACTTTATAAAAAATGAAAATTTGATGCAAATTTTAGTTTGATTTGATAATAACATCTGATCACAAAGAACGACACTTATTCACGTACGCATACACTATGTCTGAATAATACCTTGAACTCAAGTCTTTCTCCTCTTCCAACCCATGCAAAAAATGATCTCGCTATCATTGGCAGCTGCCGTCTGCTCCACTGTAAGACACTAGACAAAAATGTCATTGCAGTAACTTTAGCAGGAATCTACTGGCAGGAATTACTAATAACATTGTTATTAGTAATTACAAATTACTAATAACATATATTAGTGTTACATATATCCTATAATTATATATATCCTATAATATTCCTATATAAAACCCTGAGAATATGCATTGTGTCTAACTTGTCACTGTCAGGCAGCTCTTTTCAATAAAAGTTGATCATGGGTTCTGTCAGTGATTTCCAAACTTGCCTGTTCTTAAGACATACAAAAGGCGTTTTTTAAAGTTATAATTCCAGCCCACCACCACCTCTCCACCCCATCTCCCGATAGTTTCTGAATTCCACTTTTTTTTTCTTTTGAGATGGAGTCTCGCTGTCTCATCCAGGCTGGAGTGCAGTGGTGTGATCTCAGCTCACTGCAACCTCCATCTTCTGGGT